TATCAGGAGACACTCTGGTTTCCAGAGCTAAGGCCCAGCAAGCAAGCTGTGCCCCAAGCTTGGCAAAACAAGAATCCTTTGTGCTCACCCTCTGGCAAAATCCCATAATTGCTGTATTGCTTTGACCAGCACCGGGTGTTCCCTGAGCTCAGGCAAGCTCAGGACAAGCTTGGACAAGTACCCATGTTCCAGTCATAAAGCCCAACATGAATCAAACTTGTATCATTATGGCTGTTACCCCTCATTGCCAGGGCTACAGCTCACTGCCCAGCTGTTGGCATAAATATTGAGATTCCGCCCCCCTCCACTGCCTCAGGTTCCCCCTATTAGGGGCAGGGCACCAACACTTCTGTCTCATTCCCTCTTTCCTTTTAAGCCATTTCCCTCACTTTGAAATTGAACTTTTGTTTGATTCCTGACTCCCCTTCCTTTAGCCTGCTCTGTTGAGCATCCAGCCACTCACAGGTTAGAGGCCTGTTAGGTACAGTAGACACTTATTTTAGCAATTATTTTTCCTTCTCCTGCAATGAAGAAAAAAGAAAAAAAAACCTTTGTATTATATACATAGAGTTTACTAAAATAAATTTCCACATTGGCCACACTCAAAATGTAAGTTTCATTCTGTATTTTAAATCCATCACTTTGGCAGAAAGAGAGAAGTACCATGGGATAGATTTAAAAATTAGGCTTTAAAGGAGAACATGGGAATTCTGAGGGCGACTCCCAAGATCTTGTGGACAGTCCCTCAACCAATCAGAAAGTGCTCCAAACATTCTGCAAAACCACTGCTTCCTTAAGACAGAGCCCCAGAGGCTAAACTGGTTGGAACAGGTAGGGGTCAAGGACCAGGCAAAGGCTTTTCTCCACTGTGCTTGCTTTGATAAGCTTATTGAATATTAACTGACGCACCTGGAAGGTGGAGATAGCAGCCATTTTTTAACATGGGATGCATGACTGGGAGGGCTTAACATGACAAGGAGTAGCATGGGATGGGCGGTTCAGGAAGAGTGTAACCCAAATGAGGTGGTCCAATTCCAGCTTAAATGGGAGGAGTATGGATTTTACTAAGCATTTAAAAGTTGGCTCGGCCTCTGTATTGGCACACATGTGCCATACTAGGGTGCTATGTGCCTGCTTCTCTCAAGAGGGGTTATAAAGGCTTTCTTTCACACACTCCTGTGGTGGATTTTTGTTCCAGATTCTCCAAGTATCATACTTACTTTCAGTCTTCTTTAATCACGGTTTGGCTAGAACAATAATTTATAAAGGAGTTGTCCTTCTCTATGATGGTAGGTAACCTCCACGCTGGTGCAGATCAAAAGAGACACACAGGCAGTGTTTCTCCTTTCCAACACATTCTCTATGTAATTAACAAATTGATATTCCTAAATCATAGATCAGACCATATCATTCTTTTTCAATGTTCAATAGCTTTCTTACTGATTCTGTTGAGGTCTAAGAATGCTGGGAACCCCAGAATTCAAGGGCAGAAGACACAGATCCTGCCTGGAATGATTCAACTCAAGCCTTCTTTCAGTCAGAGACAAGGTTTATTAAAACACTGACTGAGGTGGGAAAGAATTTAATGGGGGCAAGGTGGGCACTTAGATACAGTGGTCAAGGAGTGACCTTGGTTGACTGGGAGGTAACAGAGAAGGAGTCTAGAAAGAATTAAGGGTGGGAAGTAGCCTGGGGCCATCCAGACAATGAAGGGCTGGGCTAGGTTAGAGATTACAGAGAATTGAAGGTTTGGGTGTGGGGCTGCAAGGAGGGGCCAGTTGTAGGAATTACTGGGATGAGTCAATGCCTCAGGTTATTGCCAGAGACTTGGCCATGTGAGAAAGTTCAAGGAAAGTTGGGGGGGGGGGGTTCCAGGGTAGATATCCCTCATTCCCCCTTTAAACAAATGGGACATAAATTCTTTTTGGGTACGGGGCGAAAGCTTTGGCTTCTGAAATTGCCTCCTGCTGGCAAGGGGCATGGAGCTGTCCCTGCCTCTCTGGGTTCCATTCAAGGGATCAGACTTCGGAACCTGGCTGATTCCAGGTCCAGCGGGCTAGAGACCTTGGACTGGGTCACAGGTCCGTATATAGCCAGAGCAGTCATCTGGATGTTGATGACTCTGAAGCTGTAGGAGACAAACCTGGCAAGGAGGTTAAGCAAACAAGGACCAAACAGGCACAAAAGGAGGATAGAGAAAAGACAATTTCCCTGGAGGGAATTAAAGACTACTATGGGTAAAACCTTAAAAGGAAAAGGGCATGTATGATTTCACCCCTTTTTATCCATCTGTCTGCCAGAGGGGGCTGGGTGCCTTTCCAAACAGTAGCTTGAGGTCCTCCAAGGGTTCACAAGTATATTCCAAAGTGTCTGGGTACAAGTTGGGCAAGCCGGACGAACTTGGTGGGTGGTTTCTCCAAACTTAGTGCCAGGGGACAGCTTTTGAACAGAATAGCCTTGGCAGCCATTGCAGCCACAGAGTTGAATAGTTTTGAAAAACAAGCAATGGGCCTGGGGTCAGATCCTAAAGACTGGGTTAGGACTCCCAAAGCCAGTCCTCACCTTTCACCAACATATAGAGTGAAAGATTTTTCTAGATTGGGTAGAGCTAATGCCAGGGGTGGCGATCAATTTAGTTTTCAAAGTCTTAAAACCTTTAGCCTCATCAGGGCCCCACTGTAGAGAGAGTGAGACAGGGCATTGAGTGGAGTCATAAAGGGGCTTAGCAATAAGACCAAAATTACGGATCCAGAGTCTGCAAAATCCAGCCATGCCTAGAAAAGTTCTAGTTGTTCTAGAAAAGAAGTTGTTTCTTAGTGGCTGGGACAGGGATAGACAGGATTATCCTTTTCCTCTCTGAGGTTAAAGATTGAGAGGTGGGTGTTAGTTCTTGGCCCAGATACTTTACAGACTGGCAGGCTATCTGGAATTTGTTCAGAGAGACCCTATAGACTGCAGGGCATGGAATATAATATTCCGGAGGGCAAAGGAGAGTGGATTCCAACCAAGAATCACCTACCCAGCAAAACCGAGTATAATCCTGCAGGGGAAAAAATGGATGTTCAGTGAAATAGAGAACTTTCAAGCATTCTTGATGAAAAGACCAGAGCTGAATAGAAAATCTGACTTTCTAATACAAGACTTGAGTGGAACATGAAGAGGTAAACAGGAAAGAGAAATCATAAGAGACTTATTAAGGTGGAACTGTTTACATTCCTGCATGGAAAGATGATATTTGTAACTCATGAGACCTTTGTCAGTATTAGGGTAGTTGGAGGGAAAAAATTATATGTATGTATATATGGATAGATAGATAGATAGATAGATAGAGGGCACAGGGTGAGTTGAAGATGAAGGGGTCATATCTGAAGAATAAAATTAAGGGGTGAGAGAGGATTATACTAGGAGAAGGAGAAAGGATTATACTAGGAGAAGGTAGAATGGGGTAAATTATCTCACAAAAAACAGAAAAGAAAAGGCTCTTACAGTGGAGGGGAAACAGGGGAAGGTGAGAGGGAATGAGTGAATCTTATTCTCATAGGATTTGACTTAAGGAGGGAATAACATACACACTCAATTGCGTATGGAAATCTGTCTCACCCTACAGGATAATAGGGAGGGGAAGGGGACAAAAGAGTAGGGGGATGATAGAGAGGAGGGCAGATTGGGAAAGGGGGTAATTAGAAGCAAATACTTCTGAGGAGGGACAGGGTCAAAAGAAAAAATAGAATAAATGGGGGGGCGGGATAGGAGTAAGGGAAATAGAGGTAGTTTTTCACAACATTATCTACTATCAAAGTGTTTTGCATAACTGCACATGTGTAACCTATATTGAGTTGCTTGCTTTTCAATGAGGGTGGGTGGGAAGGGAGGAAGGGAGAAAATTTGGAACCCAAAGTTTTAAAAACACATGTTTACAAAAAAATATTTTCACATGCAACTGGGAAATAAGAAATACAGGAAATGGGGTACAGAAATCTATCCTGCCCTACAGCAAAATAGAAGGGGAAGGGGATAAGAGAAGAGGGGGAGAGATAGAAGGGAAGGCAGACTAGGGGAAGGGGTATTCAGAATGCATGCCATCTTGGGGTAGGGGGAAGGGCGAGATGGGGTGAAAATTTGGAACTCAAAATCTTATGGAAGTAAATATTGAAAGCTAAAAATAAATAAATTTATATATAAAAAAACCAAAAAAACAAAGAGACCCTATAGCCTTGAGTGCCCAAGAAATGAAGA